CTGGTTTTCTCCACTTCTACTTCTTCCAAACTGTTTTCCACATCATACACAGACCAACATTTAAAACCTGTGGACTAGACTGTCATTGACTGTTATAGACTGTTTTAATATCTTGATTAAAACCATTCAGTGGCTATCTGTTGCCCCAAAAGTTCTAATTCTTGGCCCTGGCTGGTGTAGCTCAGTGGATTTAGCACAGGTCTGCGAACCAGAGAATCACAGTTTGATTCCCAGTCAGGGCACATGCCTGGGTTGCAGGCTGGTTCCCTGAAGGCCAGTTCCCAGCAGGGGATGCATGAAAGGCAACGATACATTGATGTTTCTCTCCTCTCCTTCCCCTCTAAAGATAAATAAATAAAATCTTAAAAACAAAAAGTTCTAATTCTTTACCATGACCTATGAGGCAGGCACTCTGCATGATCTAGCACTTATTTGTCTAGCAACTTTCTATCATGCCACTTGCCCCCTATCTCCGTTGTTTTAGGTGTGCAGGTGTCCTGTTAGTTTCTTAAATGTGCCTAGCTCTTTCCAGCTCGAGCATCTTTGCGCGGCTCTTTTCTTTGCCCGAAACACCTGTCTCCTGCTTCTGGAGGAGCTGCTCATCTCATCCTTTAGGTCAGTATTGTTGTCATCATTGAGAAGCTGTTCTGACCACATTATCTCAGTAGAACCTTTCCTTGTTTTCCGTTTTCTTCTGCTCTTGTTCCTTTTTTGGTTTCATACAATACTGTGACAAGCTGTGTGCTTTATGGTACCGCTGTCTATTATTTCTAAGTAGAGAGGAAGTTCCACAGCAGCATGGATATTATATATCCCGCATTTATTACTATACCCAGTGTAGTAGTTGCTCAGTTTGTAAGATGACAAACTAAACTTAAAGTGAGGCTGATAAGGAAAATCCCGTTTCTCTCTGAACATAGGAGTCAAACGGTCCCATCCACTTGCTTCATGCTATTTATACACCAGACCTCAAGGTTAAGCAAAATGCTGCTGGAGAGGTCTTGAACAGTTGACAGACATTTACAAGGCACCATGAATGTTTAAATTTGTGGTTTAAGTAGTCACTGCTTTTTTCCCTTCTTTTCCATATTCACCTAGGCATGGCGAGCACAGCTAAGTGGTGGTGGGGGGGGTGGCGGCAAGGGGTGGGGTGGGTCATGGCCCTGCCTCTTGGGCTTTTAGTTCTGGAAATACTCAAATTTGGTTTCTCTTGCTTTGTGAGAAGTCTTTTTGATGATACAACTATCTGAATTTCTCACGTACCTGAGTTCATTCAACTGAGTTGAAAGTTTCTGTGGTGGGGATTTTCATTGTGTTTACTGCAGTGAGACAGAGTCAAAAGGACTTTGAATCAGAATTGGGCTTGGAGTTTTTAGTCCTGCTTATTACTTTGAAAAACCAAACAAAACTAAACAAAACAAAATGAAAACCCAAACAATAACCCCTAGCCTCGATCTTTTTATCTACAAAAACAAGAGAATTGGATCAGGTGGCTTCTTGAGTTCCTCGCAGCTTTAATTGTAGTGAAATCTGACTCCTGTTGAAAAGATAGGAATTCTGATCAGAGAAGCAAATAACAATAACTGCAGTCTTGAAGGAAGCAGACCCTGCCCTCAAAGTCATTTTTATGGAGAAAAATTGAATCCTCTCAGAAAAGGGAATGACACACTCCTTGGAGATTCAGAACCCTTCAAGTGTGACTGCCCTGGCCTGACTTTTAGTTTACTGGAAATTCTCCAAGGAAAAAAATATTTTAGAGCTCAATCTGGGGCTTTTAATGACTTGTACTAGGAATTAAAAAATTCTTGGCTGAGGAAAAGTGCCCCCTTTTAAGCTCTGGCACCCCGAAAAGAATCTTGTTATTTTAATGCAAGCATGAGCAGCTCCCTTGGTTGTCTGGAGGACTACCTTGTACTGGAAAGATGCAACTGGATGAGAGAGAGCCAGCGTGAGCCCACTTTCCTCTTCACTTAGGAGCGTTATAGAGCTGAGTCAGGAGGATTCTAAGCAAATGCATGTTTTTGTTTTTGTTTTTTTTTAATTTAGTTATTTTTCAAGTACAGTTTTCTGCCTATTTCTCCCATCCCAGCCCACCCTGCCCCGTGGTTCTAATGTAGATTTTAGTTTTCATTCAGATGGTAACTTAACAGTTTCCATCTCTTTTATTAATCGTTCTTACTTATGGATTTGCCTTTATACTTAATGCTTATTTCACTTGTTCCCCAACATCCTTTGGGTTGGGTGGTAGTTTCTCATTTCTTTGTTATTCCAGATGAAGAAACTGAGGTTCTTAGAGGTTAAGTAACTTGCTAAATTAAGGGCCAGTTAGCAAGTGATTGAGTTGGGATTTGAACCAAGTAAATGAGTAATGAATCTTCCTTTGAGCCTATGAGGTAGCTAAGGGCATTTTCAGCATTTTTAATGGTAGTGAAAAGATAATAGGGAAATTAATGACACTCCACTCACCAACCAAGTTGTATGTGTTCTTTCTTTTTCCTAGAGATCCTGGGTGTTTTCTTTTCATTCGGTCCTATCAATGTCTTTTCTTTCTAGGATGCTCCATTTAAACACTGTAGAAGTGTAATCAAACCCAGAGTTAAAGTAATGGACATTCATTTTTTATGATCATCTAATAGTATTTGCAAGAGCATGGCCATATTTGCACTTAGAGTCATCCTGACCTGTTGCTTTAAATATTTTAATAATACAGGTTTTTCTCTTTTCCCAATGAGGCCCACTTCCCCCCCATCACTTTAATTATGTGAGCTAGAATCCTCTTTCTCACACATCTTCAGTTCTCAACCTTGTTAAAATTAATCATATAATCCCCCTTTAAAACATAGTATTAAATCACCATAGTAACACAGTATCCAAACTTTATAGATAAAACATAACAGCCATAAGAGAGTAGTGTTTGGTGTCCCCTTGACAGCTCTGTAACTTTTATAGGAATGTGTTCCCTCTCCTGGCTGTGTAAGGTGCAGGGATAGCATTACTTACACCTGTTTTATTACCGTGCTGCTTTTGAATTGCCACCTTGTTTTCGTTCACCTTCTAGTTAAAAAAGGAGAGTGGAACACTATTTTTTTCTGAATCATTTTCTTGTACTCTCTAACCACTTTCAAAGGGATGATATTGTTTCCTTACCATATGACCAGGGAGTGTCTATTGTCCTTTTGTGCTAGAATACCTTGAAAACCTCTTTAATTTTCTTATGCAGCTTATATGAGGAAGTTTTAGATAGGAAGGTTATCCATATTTGAAAACTTAATTCACATTGAATCCAAAGATTCAGAAAGTCTGCCTTTGGAAAAGGCCTGGTGAACCATGATTTTTTAAATTTCCACTGATGATTTATAAAGTGAATTATGGGTGAGAACATCTATTTGAATATGTTATCTATTTAAGTATATTCTGTAAAATGCAGCATGTAAACTACAATATGACTTAATGAGTTCCTTTGAAAAAGTCAGTGTCAAATTCTAAAATATTATGTTGGCATAAATTTATGCACTAGAATTTGGAACATTTAAAATTTTAAGAGGAGTCCAAGCTAACTGGTAAACTGATTTTTAGAAATGGATTTTAAAACATTTTATAACTCTTAAAAAAGAGTATGGATTACTCTGATTGGTAATATGATTTTTGATATATTGAAACACATACTTTCTATTTTATGTTGCTATTATGTATGGTTGCTGCTTTTTTCTGTTAATGCTGGAATTTTTAGCTTTTTTTCTTCTTTAAAAAAAAGATTTTATTTATTTTTAGAGAGTGGGGAAGGGAGGTAGAAAAAGAGGGAGAGAAACATCAATGCATAAGAGAAACATTGATCAGTTGCCTGGCACGTGTCCTCATCCAGGGACCTGGCCTACTATCCAGGCATGTGCCCTGACCAGGAATTGAACTGGTAACCTTTTGGTTTGCAGGTTGATGCCCAAACCACTGAGCCACACCAGTCAGGGCTTAGCTTTTTTTCTTTATTGTTTTTCTTTAAAACTTTGTTTTCATTTCTTAGAAAGCATCTTGTATTGTTAAGACATTTAGTATTTCTGTTCTGTAAATATAAAATATGTTCCTCATAAATTAAGAAATTTTGAAAGATACAGGAATTTAAGGAAACTAATAGCTAACCATGTCCTCTTTTGAATTCCACCTCCTCTCCTTAGCAGCTCAGTGAACTTGATTCAGTCCTTTGGGGTTTTTTCTTTTTTAAATTACCTTTTTAAAAATATTATTTATTGATTGATTTGAGGGGAGTAGAGAAAAACATCGATTTTGTTGTTCCACTTATTTATGCATTCATTGGTTGGTTCTTGTATGTGCTGTAATTGGGGATTGAACCTGTAACTTTGGCCTATTGGAATGATGCTCTAACCAACTGAGCTACCTGGCTAGGCTCCTTCTGTGTTCTTTTCTGTACGATAGGAACATCTAAGTTCCAGTGTTGTTGCTGAGAGTAAATGAGATGGTTTATATGAAGTGTCTTACTCTTATGACTAAGACATAGCAGAAACTCAAATTCTGCTGTAGAGGAATGGTCAGATGAGCAAATTAATGATCAGTTAACAGCAAGGTGGCAGAAAAGGCTTTGGTGTTAGTTAGTCCTAGGTTTAAAATCCAATGTTTTGCAGTTTACCAGTTGGCACCTTAGGCATTGCCATGCTAGGCTATTTCCTCATCTATAAAATGATGTAATAGAATGCACCTTTCAGGATTTGGTGGCATGATTTACAGTGCTACCTGCTTGAACTGGGTAAGTAGAAGAAGGTATGGTAGCTCTGAGGAGGCGGTCACTAGGACGTGCTGTTTGCTGCCCTTTTTTCTTTTTTTACTAGCTCACAATCTGTTCCCGTGAAGTGTGTAAATTTTCAGTTCATTTATAAAGAGTTCCACTGAGAAAGGAAATGTTACAGGTTCAACGACTTGTCATGATTAGATACTTTATCAAGAAACTTACTGCACATTCATTTTTCCCTTTTGTTTTGTCTTTGCTGCAGCCTCACAGTTAGCCAAGTTGGCCAGAACTTCACGTTCGTGCTCACTGACATTGACAGCAAACAGAGATTCGGGTTCTGCCGCTTATCTTCAGGAGCTAAGAGCTGCTTCTGTATCTTAAGGTAAGGGATAAGGTCTTGGAAATTGGCTAGTTCTGTGAAACAATGTCAGCTTTTGCGTTGTTCTTCTGTAATTAATTTTTCCAGCTGCTCTTTTCATTTTCCTATCTGTTTTCCACAAGTCACTGCACTTGGGGAGAAGGACTTCACAGTGTTGTCCTTGCACTTTAAGTTCTGCAGATAATTGTATTTATTTATTTGTATCCCATCGCTGGAGTGGGAAAGGGACCATTGCTTCTGTGGAGTGTGGGGAAGCTGGAGAGCCAGCATGGCTTCAGTTCCTCCTGCTGTTATCTGGAGCTGTCAGAAGTTAGCCTGTTAGGCTTTCCCTTGGACATTTTGTGTATGTAAGATTATTAATAAAGTATGTGTCTGTGGCTCAGGACGTCTTGCAGACACTGATTGTGTCCTCCTCAAAGTAACACCCTTGCCCCCTTTGGGTCAGTGAGTGAGTGACTGTTTCCCAACTTGGCTACCTCTGGAGAGGTTTGAAAAAATGGCCAAATCCTGTAAGAAGGCTTCTTTCGGTCTCTAAAACCCCCTTCATCCACCAGAGCCACAATCACTTAATGCTGTGTTTCCTCCTGCCAGAGGGGTAAGGAGTGTTCTGGGGTGGGAGGATGTGTGGAAGTCGGATTTTGGAGCCGCTGGCTCTGTGGGCTCCTGCTGGGCGCCTCCTGAGGGGGAAGTAAAGGCATCCACACACTCTCCTCTCCATCTGCCTCAGTTAAGTAGGTGTCAGAGGGGCCTGCCTCCTGTCTCTCTCTGCTCGTGTGGAGCAGCCCAGGGCAGGACAGCGGGGAGGCGCCCCTGACAAAACCCGGGTCCCCAGTCTTGGGCTTCAGCCTGGGGATAAAAGGCCAGACCCTCTATGATTGCCAGAAAGAGTAGTTCTCTGTGTATTAGTCTCTGTATTTTCTTCTCCTCACCAAAAAAAGACAGCTCCCCACCCCCCCTCAACCCCTCAAGCAGATACCATTACACCATAAGGGGAAGGGAGCTGACTTTTGGAGTGCCGTGCTTTTGCTCAGCAACTGTCAGTCCAGACTGCTACTTTTGTGTTTCTCTACGCAGTTATTATAATTAAAAAAATTTTAAGCTTTTATTCATTTATCTTTAGATGGGAAGGGAAGGAGAGAGTGAGAGAAATATCAATCAGTGTATGGTTGCCTCTCATGTGTCCCCCACCCAGGCATATGCCCTGACTGGGAATCGAACCGCAATTGGCTGGTTCGCAGGCCCACGCTCAATCCACTGAGCTACACCAGCCAGGGCTATTATTATTTTTTTAATCAGCAAAGTTAACTCTCTTCTTCACCGAGCATAGCATCTGTAATGGGGGCACTAGAGGGCAAGTGTTGGAATGGCCTTAGGAAGGGAGCCCAGCCAGGGTGCTTGGCGAGGTGAAATGTGCACAGCCGTTCCCAAGCATTGCCGCAGCAGCCCAGGCCCGAGGACTGCCTGCCCAGCGTGCTAGACCTGGTGTAAGGGATTATTTACTTTTTGATTTAGTAGTGTTGGTTTTTTTCTTGTTTTTCTTTTTAAAGAAAAATTTTCATTTTTACCTAATATTATATTTCAGCCTTGGCCAGGGCACTGCATATTTATGAGGTTTTTTAGAGGAGATGAGGGTTTAAACCAAGTTTTTAAAGTTTTGCGGAAAGGTGTTTTTCCCCAAATGTTTTGAGTTATGGTATTTTTTTTTTCTTTCAAAGCTGTGTGTGTGGAGGTGGGGTGGGGATGACTCTGAACTGACACTCGCAGTCACACAACTTCTGGGAGTAGAAAACTATTTACTTACTAATTTAAATTACCTGGCTGGTGTGGCTCAGTGGATTGAGTGTGGCCTGCGAAGCAAGGGGTCACTGGTTTGATTCCCAGTCGGGACGCATGCCTGGATTGTGGGCCAGGTACCCGGGACAGGGCACATGAGAGGCAACCACACATTGATGTTTCTCTTCCTCTCTTTCTCCCTCCTTTCCCCTCTCTCCAAAAAATAAATCTTTCAAAAATTTTAAATAAAAAAATTGCTCTCCTCTGATTCTAGCATTTGACTTTGTGTGTCTATATAGAGTATAGTGGACTTCATGTTTGTGAGAAGGTTGTTGAATAGCCTTCATGCTGTAGTCATTTAGAATGAAAAGTAGCAGCAGTTGGTGTGTTTTCTATCTGTTATACTAGCTTGGAACTATGGAAACAGTTTGGTGGGTTCATTCATTTATTTGTCAGCCCTTTATTGGGTACCTATTAGGTAGTCTCTGCCCTTAAGGAGTTCCCAAGACTAGCTGGGGAGATGGATGATCACATTGCAGTATGCTATATATTTAATATATAGGATGGTCTCATAATATAGTGTCTTTGCACTACTGATATTCTAGTGCCAGAGAATAGTGACTGTGGTGATAAAGAGTGCTGTATAAATACTGGGATATGCACTTTAAGGGTATTTACCACTTGAGATGGAAGTCTCACTCTATCCCATCCAGCTCATGCACACGTAATGAGTGTCCACTTTTCCTGTTCTTGGGTTGGTAGTGCTGCTGGGGTGAGACATGAGTGGAAGGGTCTTCTGTAACCCTGGATGACTGGGTTACATTGGAGAGAGTATAGAGTTGGCCAAGAGAACACAAGCACGATTTTGGTCTGGTTTACATTATTAGCATTGTCCTCTTTTGCTGCTTTGTCTCCTTGTCTTTTTGCAGATGCTTTCCCTTTAGTTAACCTGTGCTTTGAGCTCCAGTCACCATTCTAGTGCCCAGTACTCTAGCTCAAGTCTGCTCATAAGCCACCTCTACTCTTGCTTTCCATTTATTTTCATGAGGGGTGTACCTCCAGTGATGGTGTCTTTACACATATAGCTTCCATTGATCCCAGCTTCTTAGGCTCCCTTCTTACCTGACTCTTCTCCCAGGCTCATGTGCTTCCTGGTACATATGAGCCACTGAGACTTTCAATCCTCCCCTCTCATTGTCTTTGTCCTTGTGTCCTTTCTACATTTTGTATGGCTTCTGATTTGCCTAAATGACATATGCCCACTGAACGCATAAGAGTTCAACAACATCACCGTGTTGTTTGGTGTAGGTGGGGTGGGACAATGTATTATGGGTGAGACGCCAAATAATGATGATAATGATGATGATGATGATGATGATGATGGTGATGATAATAATAATAATAATGCATTTCTGTATTCTTTATAAAGGAATTTTAAAAATATTTGTATTTTACAACTTTTCCTTTTGTATACAGATCTTAGTTAAGCCCTTGAGAAAGTTTGAGTGACTGTATTTATACCCAACTAAAATTGTTCAGAAACTAGAATACATTTTGGAAAATAACTTGTTTTTTCAAGATGGTATCTAAAATTTTTGTTTTAACATTTAACATTTTTATGCAATTAGTAAGTATCTTAGAACCTATATAGATCACGAATGAGCGGTGCATAACACTTGGTCTTTGGTCGTTATTTATCTCAGGGTCCCTTAAAATGGGAATGAAGATCTAGCCCTGGCTCCCTATATGATGAGAACCTTTCAGGTGTCATGTTCACTCAAGATTTTGATGAGCTGAACTTTGTGAACTTGGTGTGACAAACTGAAAACAATATATACTTTTTGTCCTTTACCAAGTAAGTTTAAAATTGAACATGCTTCTGGGCACACCTTTCCCAGGCCACCTCTGATTTTGATATCCACCTCCCATTTCACTTCTAGCCTTATGATCTTAGGAGCTACTCAATCTTTGGGAAGGGACTATGTAAACAGTTAATTAAAATATAATGTGATAAGTGGTATTTGACAAAATATGTACATGCAAGGGTCTGTGGGGTCACAGATTAGGCAGTGCCCTTCTCTGGCTTGGAGAATCAGGGAAGTGTTGCTGATGGTTTCCAGTTAAACTGGGTCTTATAGGATCAGTGGGGGCTTGCCTGGAGGAGAACAGCAGGAAAGCTCTTAAGGTGGTAAAAACTGGTGTGTATAAGCACAGAGAAATGAAAGGTAGAGCAAGATGAAAGAATGACGAGAATTTGATGAGAGGGCAGTAGCAAGAGATGATGCCATAAAAGCCTTGGGGCCAGCCTATGAAAGACATGCTCAAGATTTTGGATTTATCCCAAAGCCAATGAGTGCCATTAGATGGTTTGGAGCAGACATCAGAAATATTGATGTTTGTTAGACCAAGTGTAAACTGGCTTTTTGTGTGTGAAATTGCTATTAACACAGGCTTGGGGTTTTCTGGTTGTTGTTAGAAGGGGTGGTGCACATCACTCTGGAAGCAGCACCTTGATTTAGATTGGAATTTTTTTTTAAGATTTTATTTATTTGGACTTCTGCCAAGATGGAGGCGTAGGTGTGAACACTTTGCCTCCTTGCACAGCCAAATATAAAAACAACAAAGTTTTAACAACAATAAACGCAGCCAAGCCACAGAAAATCGAGTAATACAGAGTCTGAAAACAACAAACTGCTCAGCTAGACCTGGGAGAGGGGCAGAGCTAGCAGCGGAGCCAGTGGAGCAAAACAGATCCCCAGACCCTGGGCCTTGCGCAGGCAGCCAAGGGCGCGGATCCCAGGTGCAGAGTAGCTACAGGCGGACTGAGGGAAGGCTCTGGGCAGCTGGCTGACCACGGTCGCACATTTGCACACAGATAAACAGGTGGAGGGTGAGTGGTGAGGCGGACCAGACAGGAGGGAGCAGAGAGGACCGCCATTGCTCCCTCTCTGACCTCGCCCCCACATACAGTGTCACAAACCATTGACCTGGGTGGCCCGGCCCTGGTGAACACTTAAGGCGCCTCTCCTCAAATTTAACAGGCGCGAACAGATCAAAACATGGCTCAAGAACAACTCAGAGCCCCAGAGCCGATAAATCTAAGTGATGAAGAAATAGCCAACCTATCAGAGGCACAATTCAAAACACTGGTGATCAGGATCCTCACAGAACTGGTTGATTTTAGTCACAAATTAGAGGAACATACGAAGGCTAAACTAATTGAAATGAAG